GCAGAATTCTAGGACGCACAAGCAGCAGCAGCAGCAGCAGCAGCAGCAGCAGCAGCAGCAGCAGCAGCAGCAGCAGCAGGGGTTTCCGGTGGCCCTTGCGTCTGTCTTCCCTAGACCCTTCGCCGCCAGCTGTAGACCACCAGCCCTCCCTTTCAAGTTTTTCCGAGGCCCCAGACAGTCAGCAGCAGCAGCAGCAGCAGCAGCAGCAGCAGCAGCAGCAGCAGCAGCAGCAGCAGCAGCAGCAGCAGCAGGGGGGGCTGTTTCGTGCTGCAGCAGTGCATGCGCTGCCCCCCAAGGGCCCCAAAGGGGGTATTCCCAAGAAGAAGGGGGGGGCCCCCGGGGGCCCCTGGAAGGCCCCAGCCCCGCTGCCCCCCCCTAAGGAAGAAGAGGACTTGGGGGCCCCCCTGGAGGCCCAGGCGAAGTTAAAACAGGGTATTTTTAAGAAGCCAGCAGCAGCAGCAGCAGCTCCAGCAGCAGCAGCAGCTGCTGCTGCTGCTGCTGCAGCAAAAACGGCCCCGCCAGCTGCAAAAGAAGCCCCCAAAGAGGGGGCCCCCAAAGAGGGGGCCCCCAAGGAGGGGCCCCCCAAGGGGCCCCCCAAGCCCGAGGCCCCCAAAAAGGAAACCCCTAAAGAGGGGCCCCCCAAGGAGGCCCCTAAAGGGGGGCCCCCCAAGGAGGCCCCCAAGGAGGGGCCCCCCAAGGAGGCCCCCAAGGAGGGGGCCCCCAAGGAGGCCCCCAAGGAGGGGCCCCCCCAGGGGGCCCCCAAGGAGGCCCCTAAAGGGGGGCCCCCAGCAGCAGTCAAGAAACCCCCGGGGCCCCCCAGTCCCCCCAAACCAGCAGCTAAGCTGCCACCCGCGGGGGCCCCCAAGGAGGGGGCCCCCAAGGAGGGGGCCCCCAAGGAGGGGCCCCCCAAGGAGGGGGCCCCCAAGGCGGAGGCCCCTAAAGAGGGGCCCCCAAAGGAGGCCCCCAAGGAGGGGGCCCCCAAGGAGGGGCCCCCCAAGGAGGCCCCCAAGGAGGGGCCCCCCAAGGAGGCCCCTAAGGAGGGGCCCCCCAAGGAGGCCCCCAAGGAGGCCCCCAAGGGGCCCCCCGAGGGGCCCCCCAAGGGGCCCCCCGGGTCGCCCCCAAAGGGGGCCCCTGGGGGGCCCCCCAAGGGGCCCCCCAAAGAGGGGGCCCCCCAAAGCCCTCCTAAGAAAACAATTCGCAGAATAGTGGTTGGTGAGGGGGGGAAGGCAGCGAAGTTCAGCGAGGAAGTGCCTGAAGAAGTAAGGGTTTAGGGTTTAGGGTTTAGGGTTTAGGGTTTAGGGTTTAGGGTCTGGGATATAGAGTTAAGGGTTTGGGGTCCTTGGTTTGTTGGATTTATCGAGAGGCTCAAGAGACTAGGCTTTTGGGCATAAGGTTCGGGGTTAAGGGTCAAGGGTTTAGGGTCAAGGGTTTAGGGTTTAGGGTTTAGGGTTTAGGGTTTAGGGTTTGTCCTGCAGAAGACGGAACACTTCTTTTTGACGCCTCAAGGAACCATCGCAAGTCTTCCCAGGTGTATTGTTCCCATTGACGAGGCGCTGCTTCCCAGAGTGAGGGTTTAGGGTTTAGGGTTTGGGGTTTAGGGTTTAGGGTTTGGGGTTTAGGGTTTAGGGTTTGGGGTTTAGGGTTTAGGGTTTGGGGCATGGGATTTGGTGGCCACACACACTCCTTTGTCTCTTCCTTCTCCTCCGCGCAACGGTGGATTCATCTGCAGGCCTTGGGGTCGCGCCAGGGTTTGGGGTTTAGGGTTTAGGGTTTAGGGTTTAGGGTTTAGGGTTTAGGGTTTGCTGCAGATAAGAAAGTGCAAAGCAGGGACTGAACAGGTGCCGGAGGTTGGATCACTTCCAGTGGTTATTTTGTTGGACGAAAACAACCAGGAGGTTTGCAGGCTTCCTTGGCAAGTGGTAATTCCCAAACCCTAAACCCTAAACCCTAAACCCTAAACCCTAAACCCTCGCCGGTTGTTTTCTGCACGGGCGTCGGGGGTTTCCCTTCAGCTCAGGGCGGCGTCTTTCGCTTGGCTCTTGCGCGCCAGGGTCTTCTTCAGGGCCGCGCGCAGGGTCTAGGGTTTAGGGTTTAGGGTTTAGGGTTTAGGGTTTAGGGTTTAGGGTTTGCTGCAGGACCTTTCTTCCTTCACTCTCGCCCAAGGAGCCCTTTCTGTTATGGCCGCCCGCAAACTGGGGCTGGCGGCCAGACAGCCGGAAACTGAAAAGGCCCCTCAGGGCCTCAAGGAGTGGCTTTCTGGCCAGGTTAGGGTTTAGGGTTTAGGGGTTAGGGTTTAGGTTTTAGGGTTTAGGGTTTAGGGTTTAGGGTTTGGGGTTGGGGGGTTGGGATTTGGGATTTAGGGTTTAGGGTTTGGGGTTTACGGTTTGGCAGCCAGAAGCGGAAGCCAGGTGCTCAAGGAGTAGCTTCCTGACCAAATTACGGTTTAGGGTTTAGGGTTTAGGGTTTAGGGTTTAGGGTTTAGGGTTTAGGGTTTAGGGTT